ATTAAAAAATAATCATTATTAAAATAGTATCAGAGTTCACGTGTTAAATATTATTAAAACATTAAATGTACCTAACAACTACCTTATAAAAACATTGTATGACAATAACTCAACTTAACAATTATTTTATAATAGTTCAAATCTTAATTATTATTAAAATATTAAATATATCCAACAATTGTACTAAAAAAATTTAAATCTTGACAATTATTGTACAATAATATTTACAATTAAAATATTAACTATACCCAACAATTGTCCTTCGACAAATCTAATGCCAGCAGCTAAACCTTGTGTTTGTTTTTTTTTTTTTTCTTTTGATCAAGTTACCAAGGCACTGAAAAACCTCAACCCAAGAAAAAAAAAGAGGGAGATGACCTCAAACTTGAAACCTATGAGAACTACTATATGTGAGGAGCTATCAATTGCTCTATCCAAGAGTTCTCAGCAGCTAAACCTTGTTTCGTACCATAGTTTGTGGAGGTTTCAACAAATCACAAATGTATGTGGTCTTAAAGTGTCCCTTTTCTTGCTTTTACTTTGTTGATAGTCTAGATTAAGATGATGTATATGTGTTCAGAAACGTGTCAAAATTGATGGCAACATAATTTAATGCAAAAGGGATATGACTGGCCAAATCAGGATCCCCGTCATTAAGCAGTCCTTCACAATTTTAATTTTGTTTTCTTTCAATCAATCAGATCTTAAATGGGATTGCCAAAAATAAATACTACATTACATTGGTTAGGTGTTTTCTGTTGCCGACTTGATACGATGATTACATGCACTCGTTCTCATTTTGCACCCTTATTTATTAAGTTTGGTTTGTTTAGATTAAGATAGGGTCCCAAAACGGATGGGAGAGTGGAACTCAATTTATTGTGTCGGATATGCTCTTTACTGTTACATGGATTCAAACGACCCATAGTTAGGAAAAGGTGAGTTGAAAACGTGGGCTCAAACCGAATGAATGTGTGCAATTAAGCCCTTGTTAATATCTCCCAGAGCCAAAAGGTGTGTTATTTCAAGATAATTTGCTAGCAAAAATTTTTGGGTTTTTATTAGTCTAGGGTTTTATTCAAGTTTTGTCCATGATAAAATAAATATTAATTTTTATTTTTTCAACAAAAAATAATGTTGAATATGTGTATTAATTGCACAAAAATCGATGACTTTTTTGTGGTTTTAAATAAGTTCACATAACTCTTAAGGATTATTTGGTTGGAAGAATTTTTTTTTTTAATTTTTTTTGAAAGTTTTTATAAAATTATATATATATTTTACATGCATCCGATCCTTCGGGTCAAATGGCATTCTACTACCATGAGATACATTTCTTCTCTTTTTTTGGTGGGTTCAAGTCCGCCTTTTGACAAATTGTTCAAATATATATATATGTATATATATTTTACATTAATATTATAATAAAAGAAGAGTAAAAATAATATTTTTAATTTTTACTTTTATGATATAATTCATAATTTGTTAATTTTTATCTAATATTTTTTAAAAAGAAAATAACTCCTTCAACTTTTCTTATATATAAACCATTTGACAATTTTTCTTATACCAATTTTAATTTACCAAACAAAGAAAAATTAATTACCCAATAAACTTTCAATAAAATTTCATAATAAAACTTATTAACTTTTAATATAATATTTTTTTAATAAAAACTTTCCTGATAAAATTAACTCTATAATCAAACAGCCCCTAATATGCACACAAGTTTGTAACTTTGGGTGGGTGCATGTAACAATTGAAGAACAAAATATTCACATAATCACTCGAGATAAATCATATGAAATTTCCTAAACCAAACGCCAACCCCACATCCCTTCCCACCCCTCCCAACAAGAGGACGACATTTCAGGTATCATAATTCATAAGGCCTAAGGGGTTTTACACGCATGCACAAAAAGGGCCTAAGCGATTTAAGGTATAGATATGACCATTATTGACGAAGATGAACTTTGCTTCATAAAGTGGTAATAAATTCAAAGAGTACAAATTACATGACATTTCGGGTGAGTTGCAACAAACCCACATTTTCTTTGTCGAGTTACAGGGGAACAAAAGCGGAAATATAAAGAGGCCTGTTATTACATAACGCAAAACATTTCTTTCTTTAACAACTTTTCTTTGGAAATATTAAAACTTGTTCATTAGTTCTCACTTGACACCGGCTTTAACCCGTGCTTGAGAGCAGCTTCCCAGACTACATCAATTCTGTCCACATCAATAGCCCCAACTTCATGATGAGTCCACCCTTCTAAAAGATGAACCACACCACCTGCATGACATGCGTGAACCACTCCTCTCTCCATGGTGTACTGTCCTCACATCCGGTACATAGTCAAGCATTGAGTAT